TTTAAAAATGGATAAATTAAGCTCATTAGTGTTTCTAAGATTTTCATTTCAAATCATAAATCTAAATTATAGAATTATGGATTTTAAGGTCCAGCCATGAGATAAGTTATCTTAAACACTATGTGTAATTAAAATATCAAATATGCACAGATTTTTCTAGATACATATTATTTACCTTCAATATTTGCTTCTCATTGTATTTAATCCTTTGGGCCAAAAGACACTGGTGTGTCAAGGAGATGGCTGAGCAGGCCCACACAGTTTTGGCATCACTGTCCCAGGCAGTTGTTGAGATTGCTTTCTCCACTGACCATAGATTCTTTTTTTTTTTTTTTCGGTCTTTTTTTGAGACAGGGTCTCCCGTTATCCCCAGCTGTCCAGGAACTCACTGTGTAGACCAGGCTGGCCTCAACCTCACAGAGATCCGCCTGCCTCTGCCTCCCAAGTGCTGAGATTAAAGGCATGAGCCACCACGCCCGGCCAACCATAGATTTTTAATGACCAACAAGACCCTCGACTGAGATGCCAACTGGGCCCGCACCCAGGATATAGTAAAGACTTCTAGAGTATTCTTTGGCATTGATGTGGCAGTGACTACCAAATGAGGTCTGTGGGTTAAAGTCCTGTCATTACCTATTTTTTCTTATTCCTGGAAGTTGGAACTTCCACGAAGGGAATAAGTAGCAGCTTTCATAGTTTCAGTTAACTCTGAATTTCTTTGTATTTTAGACAGATGCTTAAACAGCTATCTGCATAGCTCTAACGATGTTTAAACCTGAGAGAGCTTTCTATCTCTCCTAGGGTTCTACCGCACTCTACAAAGGCCATTCCATCACAACACGCCAATCTAACACTTGTGAGCCACACTGTGAGTTACAGCTCATTAATGGATCTGAGTCAGGTCAGTGAGTCACAGTGAACATTCAGAGAATCAAGGGGAGAAAATCCACTTGAGGCATGTGGTAAGAGTAAATATTCTTTTCTGAAACTTGGGTTTCATTCACAGGTATTTCAGTGTAAATGAATTTCTTACTCAGTGTCTAGAGTATCTGTATGAAAATGCCCTGATATGGCATAGGACCATGCACAATAAATATATACAAGAAGAATTTTAAAAGGCAAGAAAATTCTTTAAAAAATGATTTATTGAGAATTTCATACATGCATATAAGGTGTTTGGATCAAATCCATGTCCCTCCTTCTCCTCCCATGTCTCCCCATCACTTTTTTCTGATAACTTCATGTACACTTTCTTCTTCTTTGATTGATTTACTTTTTTTTATGGGACTTTTGGCTATTCTAACATTACCCCCTCTGAAGAGGTAACCCTAAAATCTTTTAAGGATTAGATAAAAGCTCCCAAATATTTTTGACAGTTTTGGCCTTTGGAACTGAGTATGATGCTAAAAGGCCCAAGGACATTGTGACTTTTAGCCAAGAAACTGGCTACTTTTCTTTAGGGTCTTTTTACCTTAACTGCCTAGCCAATTCCCTCCTATTCTTATCACACCATCCTCTGAAGAGGTTACCCAAATAAGGCAAGAAAATTCTTAAAGTATATTTCTTTCTTTTAAAAAATATTTTATACATTATTTTTATTTTATGTTATGAGTGTTATGCCTGCATGTGGGTAAGTGCACCCGTGTTGTACAATGCCCGCGGAGGACAGAAGAGGCTGTCGGATGTCCTGGAACTGGAGTTATAGACAGTTGTTAGCTGCCATGTGGGTGCTGGGATTCAAACCTGGGTCTTCTGCAAGAACAGTCAGTGTTCTTAACTGCTGAGCCATCTCTCCAGCCCTTAAAGTATATTTCTAATAAAAATTTTGAAAACTGCCATGTCACTTTGATGTAGGGAATACCACACACACAGGAATACCCAGTACATGGACAATGGTAAGAATTAATCATAAACTGATACTTGAGGTAGGTTCTGAAGAAAAACAGACACCAAGACACAACCTAATTAAGATGTAAAAAAACACAAAAAACCCCCCAAACATATAAAATGTAAAAAGGCAGAGCATGTGGTGGCCCCTTTGTGTGTTGCCGACACTGTGTGTGCAGGCACCGAGGACTATCTTTTGTGTTTGTTCTTTCTTTCCATGGTTCTGGTTTGCCATTATTCATTTTTGGTAACATGGTTTAGGCAATCCATAATATTTATTCAATGCAAATATTAGTAATTAAGCCACCTGTTTCAGAAGACATGGGAGGAGATACGCGGGACCTCAGAATCTGGATTTTAACAAGCGCTCCAGGGTGTGTTGCTCAGTTTTCTCATTGCTATGACAAAATTCCTGACATAAACAACCTACGGGAAGAAGGATTTATTTGCTTTCAGAGTTTCTGTCCACAGGTTTTGGCTCTGTTGGTTTGGGCCTGTGGTGAAGTGGAACATTGTGGCAGCAGGAGTAGGTGGCAGAGGCTACTCACCTCATGGCCAACAGAGATTTATTTGCTTTCAGAGTTTCTGTCCACAGGTCTTGGCTCTGTTGGTTTTGGCCTGTGGTGAAGTGGAGCATTGTGGCAGCAGGAGTAGGTGGCAGAGGCTACTCACCTCATGGCCAACAGGAAGGAGAAAGAGAGAGGAGGGGGAAGGAAGAGGGGAAAGGGGGAAGGGGAGAAGCTGTAGCTCCCAAGGACATGCCCTGTTGACCTTTTTCTTCCAGATTAGAACTTCTAGAAGCTCCCAAACAGCATTGCTAGTTTGAGGCCAGTCCTTCAATACCTGAGTCTTGGGGGAAGGGCATTTTGTGTTCAAACTATAGCACAGAGAAACAACCTGGCTACAGTTGCAGAGCATTAATTTAGAAGCACTGACCTGGTCTAACTGCTCATTTTACTGGCTCAGATCACATAGGAACTCAGTATTAGAATCAGAATAGAAGGTGGGTTGTGTTCCTTTCAGGCAGAGGGCTTTTTCTACAACTTGTCTTAGCATCTTATGTGGAATCACTAACTAAATCTATTGCACAGCCTTGTTCAAGGTTGTCTTGATTTCGTATTTCCTCCCTGGCCCAGTTTATCCTCCTGAGCCACCAAGCATTTTGCTTTCCTGCTCTATACCTTTGGCTCTCTTGCTGTGGCCTGCAGCATACAGACCAGAACCCTACCCTATCACTCAGTTTGTTCACACTTGCCACTTGCCTGTCCTTTCAATTTTCCTCTCTGCTAGTCTCCCAGCACTCCCTGTTTGCTTTCTCTTCATGCTGAGGCCATCCCAGAGGACTTGGAAAGCCATAACTCACCTTCACAGACCCTGGTCTTCTGCCCATGTTGTATCCAGCAATTTGGGCAGCTTCTACCTTCCTCTGAATTGCATCCGTGGAACCCTATTAGTCACTCTTCTCATTGCTGTGACAACATACCTGATAAAAGCAACTTAAAGAAGGACAGATTTATTTTAGCTCATGGTTTAAGGGGGTACAGTCCCATCATAACAGGTAAATCTGGCAGTGCAGCATGGATCAGCTGATCATATTTTGTCCACAGTCAGGAAGCAGAGACAGGTGGATGCTGGTGCTCAGACTGCTTTCTCCTTTTTTCCAGTCTAGGGCGGTTTCCTCAGTACTACTTGCTTTTTGCTCATTTTCTGATATTTCACCTAAGACTTTGCCTTGGACTGTGTCTGTCTGGTGATAAAGTTTACAGAAGGAGGTATACATATGTCCTTTTCCTCTTGTAGAGCCTTGATACCCGCACATCCCAGTTGATTTTAATAAGCAGCTTGGCCATTTAATGTGTGAAAAACAGAGCCCTCGGTCTCTAGTCTCATGGAGATTCAAAGCTCCTTTGACATCTTTACTATCCCTTTCTTTTGTAAGCCCATCCAGAAAGAGTCTTGCAGGGATTATGTGTTCTTCATGGTAAAGAAATTTAGGGTTGTTTTTCTCCAGAGAGGAGGTGGGCAGTTGGACTAGAGTGTACTGATCTTAAAAAGGAAGTGCTTACAAATTGGATCCTTAATGGAATTTTGGGGGCATGTATATGTAACTATGGTGGTATGCTGCATGTGTGTAAGTGCATGTGTATACAGGCACACATGCACATGTGTGTGGAGGTTCAAAGCTGCTGTCAGGTGTTTTCTTTCCTTGTTCTTTACCACTTTTATTGAGCTAGGGTTTGTTGTTGAACCCAGAGCTCACCAATTCTGGCTAGTCTACCAGCCTGCTTGCACCAGGGATCCTGTTTTTGTCACCAGCGTTTTGGAATTACAGGTGGCCACCATGCCTCGTTGGTTTTATATGGGTGCTGGGATCCAAACTGTGGTCCTCAGACTTGAGCAGACAGTGCTGGATTCACTGAACCATTTTCCCAGTCCTTTAATGCCATTGGAAACATCACACTGTGTGTGTGTGTGTGTGTGTGTGTGTGTGTGTGTGTGTGTGTAGGGATGGGGGGCATGCCAGTGCACATGGGTGGAGGTCAGACAACTTGAAGAAGTTTGTCCTCTCCTTCTGCAATGCGGGGGGTGGGGGAGTCCCAGGAATCTAAGGCCATTAGGCTTGGCAGCAAGTAGTTTTATGCATAGAACCATCTCACCAGTCTCCCTCAATGCCATTTTTAAGAAATAGGGCCAAGGGCAGTCAAGGAATTGATGTGGCATAGGAGGGAAAAGCTCCAACAGAGGATGGCGGCTCACAGCACCTACCATAGCTGCTCTGTGTCTGCAGAGCACTGACTCGTTGGCCTGTTACCATCATTCAGCTTCTGGTATCTCTACCAGCAGCACCAAGAGCTGTGTTTAAGTCAGACCAAAAAGAGTGAATTAAACAGAGACTGGAGCAAAAAGCCCAGCATGAAAGCCTCATAGCTCATGACTTCAGGGCCTTTGATTTTGTTGACTTTGATATAATAATTTTCGTGTGGTCACATTGGGAAATTTTTGAAGAGAAATCGTTATTGACTGTAATGTTTGTTTCTGTGGCAGTAAGTCAACTTAATTTTTTTTTTTTTAAATTGAAAATCTTCACACTGGAATTTGTTTTTTGGTTTTAGGTTCCTTGCATTGACCCCATGGAGAGTCTATCATCTGATTTCTGTCATGATACTTGGGCGTGTTATTATGCAAATAGTAAAGGACATGGTTTTGTCACGAGCAAGAGGTAAGGATGCTCAAATTTAATTTTTATGCATTTAATTTCTAGAGTCTAAATTTCTGATTTTATGTAGACTTAGGCATCCTTTGATCAGGAGGGTCATGTAGGCATTGATTTTTCTAGTTTCCTTCTTTCTCTTCCCCTTCTTTTCCCTCCCTTCCACCATCCAGTCCCCTCTGTCCTTTTCCTCTCTACTTCCTCCAGACCTCCCTCCCGTCCTCCCTCCCAGGTTTCTGAGATGGGATCTTGCTCTGTAGCCCAGGCTGCCCAGAAACTCTCAGTGATCCTCATGTTTCAGCTTCCTGAGCGCTAAGATTTCTGAGATGGGATCTTGCTCTGTAGCCCAGGCTGCCCAGAAACTCTCAGTGATCCTCATGTTTCAGCTTCCTGAGCGCTAAGATGATGGTCATGAGTCCTTGTATGTTGGGCTCTTCCCTGACTTTAAGCTGCTTCAGACACCAGGGTGATATTTAAGTAGACTGCAGGGAGGCTAGCAGTTAAATATTTATTACCTCCTATAAGATCAAACTGGGCCACTGGAAAATGGACTAGTGCATATATAATTTTTCTCCAATTCAGGAAAGGAAAAGCAATAACTTTAAAAATTACAGATAGTTACATTGAATCTTGGAAAATGAGTTAATAATGATGAAGACAGAGTCTATTTACACATTATGTTTAAAAGTGACAGCTTAGAACTGGGTGTGGTGGTCACAACTTTAATCCCACCACTTGGGGGCAGAGGTAGGTGGATCTCTGTGGGATCGAGGCCAGCCTGGTCTGTATGATAGGTTCCAGACTAGCTGGGGCTAGCTGGGACCCTGTCTTTAAAAAAAGAGAGAGCTTGAATTAGTTTTTAAAATCACTTAGGGTGTTTATGACAATATAACTACATTATGAATCTGATCCAAGTGTTTCCACGCATAGAGGGGCCTCTTTTACTAATGTTAGAACTAGTTTTTGAAATAAGCAAGAAGTCCTTCCTGGACATAGTGAGCCTTATGAACCAAAATGTAACAAGATTGATTTGATCAAAAGTCACCAAGAGGAGGCTTTGGGTATGATCTGCCTGGATTGGTATGCAGGAAAACTGCCCAGATTCCCCATCCTGGGGACACTGGGTGAGAAGCACCTTCTCCAGAGCACGAACCTGAGCCCTGTAATGCATGTAGCTGTGGCCTTGGCCTCTGGTATTCCGTGGGCCTGATTTAAATCTGCTTCATAAGTCTTTCCAGTTCTTAAACAAAATCAGTCATACAAACAATTTTTTAGGAAGGTTAGTGTGCGTACAGGTTTGGAGGTAATTCTTACATGCTAGCCTTCTGAGGAAGCCAGGATTCATTTTTTTGTCTAGATGATGCATTTTGTGAATCTGTAGCTTTAAATGATATTCTTGTACACACATCCTTTCCTCCCTCCTTTTTCTTCCCTCTCCAACCCTCTTTCTGTTGCAGAGAATAGATGCCCAGCTCCCTCACTTTCAACCTTCGCACGCACTTGCTGTGGTTCCTTCTGTGTCCCAGCTGTGCTGAGGCTGCTGGAGGCAGAGCGTCTCACACCTCTGTTCTGTAGAAGTTAGTGGTTGGGCCATGCCAAGTCTGTGTGTCTGCCTTAATTCATAGCTCACATAGGAAGGGTTAATTTTCTCAAATAAGTTTTGTACCGTGTTCTCCCCATCACTTCCCTCAGGGAAAAACAAGAAGACATAGCCAGTTGTAGGTTTGTTCAGCTGCCCTTTTAGCTCAGTAAAGCAAGTTAGCCACAAGGAAAGCTGAGAATCTCAGGATTGTCAATTGTGGATCCAGCATGACTATCATCTACACAAGTTAAAAAGAACAAAGACTGGACAAGGATCAACTGAAGGTCTTAATTGCCATGTGAGGGGCCAGGATGGAGAGCAGGACAGTTTGGAAGTCTGTCAGCTTTAGAGCTCGGTGCCTACCGAGGTCTTCAGTTTCCAGTTTAGCTCATTGTTTTGGTATTTAAGTGGAGTAATTTCTTATTTGCAAACTTCAGAACACCTATATATTGCAAAGATTTTCTTTGTTTTGTCCTTGAAAACATTAATATGATAGATTCTTTAGGCTGGTAATCTGTCATCTCTAATTCTTAAGCCAGCCTTGACAGAGCAGGCATGTAATCTCAGCTACTTGGAGACTGATGCAGGAAGATTGCAAGATAGAAGACCTTCTAGGGTATAGAGGAAGTTCAAAGCCACAACTGGGCAATTTACTGAGATCCTGTCTTAGAATAAAAAGTGAAAAGTGAGGGTTGGAAATATAGCTCAGTAGTAGAGTGCTTCCCTTGCACGCACAAGGCCCTAGGTCCAATCCTTAGCAGTGCAGAAAGAAAGACTTAAACAAAGAATAATTCTTCAGCTAGTTCATTTCCACTTCTGCTCCTAGCTGTGGAGAGGCCACATAATAGATCGCATGTTTCCTGTAGCTGCTGTAATGAATTACCACAAACTTGGAGGCTCAAAACAGCAGAGACCTTTTCTCATAGCTCTGGAGGCTGTCAGTCCAAAAGCAGGTCTCACTGGGCTAAAACCCACATGTCTGTAGGTCTGTGTCACCCCTGGAGGTTTGAGTGAGGCCCCTTCACCACTTGTTCCTGATGCTGGTGGTACTGGTGAACCCTTGCTTACAACTACATCACTGTAGTCTGTGCATTCCTTTTCTGTTTGCATCAAGCCTTGCTCAGTGTTCTCTTCAAAAGACACTTGCGGTTGTTACTGGTGCCCACCTGGATGACCTAGGATAATCTCTTCTCCTTTTCCTTAACTGAGTGGCACCTCTAAAGCCCCCTTTTCCATATGCAGTAATACAGATTCCAGGGATTAGGACATGGAATCTGTGGAGTATTACTCAGCCTGAACCACTTCATCCTGTAGCAGAAGTGAACCCATCATCCTACGCACCACAGGCTTGGATTAGGGTCAGCCAAAAGGCCACAATGGGTATGCAGTCCATACAGTGACTGTCTCCTTTGTTCAGCTGACACAGTCAGAACAGCAGGGCCTCCTATCTCCTCATTGGCCAGGCTACATTGAGTACCTTTCTGGATCAAGGGTGGTTCTAAGCACTGGCTTCCAGTGAGGATGCAGACAGGATGCCTCTGTCCAAATGGAGCTCCAGCGCCCCACCCAGGCCTCTGTCACAGGTCCATCTTTCTTTCAGGATTTTCAGAGTGGTGTTCTATGCATGTAAACAGAGAAAAGGAAACACGGGCCTTCTTATGGTGCTTTCCCAGAATGCCCTAGTCTTTAAATGAAAAAAACCCTAGGGCTTTCTTTGTCCTTTTTTAGTGAGTCTTTTAGGACAAAGACCCAACTGAGCCTTGTAAATAGCTGGCCAGCACTGGCAGCAGGGCATCCGGCCCAACACACTGCTGTAATAGCTGCTCTCAGGGAGATGTACGCTCACTGCAAAATGAATCTAGAAGCAGCTCTGGTAATGCTGTGGTTCCCATTAGAACTGTCAGTCACTCTTGATGTCTCTGATTGTGCTGGCAGTCAAGGGAAGCCTAGGTCAGCAGAGCTTTCTACAAGCCTCTGCTCGCTCCCTCTCTCAGCTGCCCTCTTCCCACACTCACTACTAAAGATACTAAACTTCACTGCTTGTTTTCCTCTCCCAGTTATTTTTAACTCCTCTTAGTAAGTGTAGGGCCTTGTGAAGTGTGTGTACGTTATTGAATAGCCGATCGTGAATTTCCTCTTAGGTGATAGGAGCTCTGTACCCACTGAGAAGCGAGTGAGACCTTCTGCTTTCTGTTTCTTTGAGATTGGTTATTCCCACCCACTCCTTGACACATCCTAACACTTCATATGAAGTCAGTGGGAAAGGGGGAGCAGATGCCCTTTTGTAGATTGGGGTTTGTGAAACCTGCAGGTATCTAGGCCTTTAGTTTGACAGTCCCTGCAGCCTCCAGTTGGAGACTGCGAGTGTGCGCACCTGCACATTTCTGCTTCTTTCAGATTCCAAGGCTTTTTCAGTGTATGAGAGCCTCCTGCTGAATCCTTAAACCTGACAGTGACCACCTTGTCCTTTCCCTTCATGGTGAGAGGGCCAAGTCATCTCCACCTCGGGCTGTCATACCTGTGAGGAAAGAGGGCCCAGTAAGTGTCCCTAGCTCTCCCCACAGCCACCTGGGGGAGGAGCATCTGTAACCACTGCCTCTCCACCTTCCTGCCTGTGACACCTGCATCGTCCCCTGATGTCACAGCTTAGCACCTTCTTGGCTGTTGAGAGTGGACCCAGTAGAGGCCTGTGGCCTCAAGGCCTTCCTGTACTCTCCTTTCATTGCACTTCTGACTTGGCTTAGCTAAGACCTGTGTTCAGCCCTGCCTGGTAGCCAGACTCTGAGCTTAGCCTTCGGAAGGGTAGTCTATCCACCACCCCCAAAAGCCCGACAGTCAGTTGTCAGCCCACCTTTGCTCACCTCCTGGACCTGCTCCTGTGCAATCAGCACTCTGACTGTTGCTCTACACTTTCCCTGCTCAGCCCTTTGCTAATTGTGCTGACCTTTGGCCCCATCTTTCCCAGAACATCTTTGCTCTACGAGGTTCCTACCTGATCAATGCTTGGCTATAATAACACTGTCCTTACAGCTCTAAGTGTCCCAGTTCTCTTGTCCATCAAACATGACCATTTTTCTAGTTCTTAATAGTAAGGCCAGCATTCCACAACATTATCTCTTTTCTCCACTGTTGGCTTTAGAGTTGTTAGAGGAGCACTGTGAAAAGGTGCGTTGACACCTTGAATATCCAAATGTCTGACTAGTTGAGACCGTACTGTTTCTCAAAGCTCTCGGGTTCTTTTTAGTTGATTTGTTTTCACATGCTGCCAAACTCCAGAAAGTCTGAAGCAGTTTAGAAGGTGCAGGAAACACAGCTGTTTCAGAAAGGTCTAAAAGGGCAGAAGTCTAGTCCCTAACCATGACTGAGGAACAGACTCATCCCTTATTGGCAGCCAGGGCAACAAAGGAAATCAGATAAATTGCATAATTACCCAAAGAAATGAAGTCAACAATTCCAAGAAATTTTTTTTCTTGGGAGTAAATGTTGAAAATGAATTTGATTGGAGATATTCAAAAACATTCCTTTGACCTTTTGTCTGATGGAAAGTGTAAAGGCCTCCACATGGTTAGTTCCTTGTTGGCGTTCCTTAAATCTGGTAGCTAGGAATGTCATATCAAGGGTTAGTTCAAAAAAGATGGTCACTAGAGGTTAGAAAGGAAATTCATTCATCTATCATCTATCATCTATGTATCTATGTATCGATATATCTATGTATCTATGTATCTATCTATGTATCTATCTATCATCTATCTGTCATCTATCTATCATCTATCTATCTATCATATCATCTATCTATCTATCTATCTATCTATCTATCTATCTATCATCATCATCATCTATCTATCATCTATCTGATCTTTTTCTGTTGGTTTAATTTGAGCCTAGATGTTAGCTCAAATATCTCTAGTCTGCGTCATGCCAATCTCACCTCAGTATGTCGTTCATGCTTTCTTGAGCACATGTTTTCTGTCCTTCCTGAAATTTCATGCTTTACTCCTCTTGTAGAATTCTTGGGCTGCTTCTTTGACATCACATTTTCTGAAGTTCACATGTTAAGTGGGTCATTGAAGGTCTCTGAGGCAGGGATGGTATGCTCTAGAGTGTCCCACCTCTCAGGGTGACCTGCTCAAGTGTTTTGCATGTAGAGGATCTTGGTAAATATTTGTGGAGTACTTGCATGAATCCCTCATGGTAACAAATATGTACAGTGTATGATTTGATAGTTTCTGGTACTTAGAGATGTAAGCATTCCACTTAAGAAGCTTGGAATATTTCTAAGCTGGAAAATGTCCCCCAGAGTGATGGCTTAAGTTTCACATTTTACTTCTCCTTATTGCAGGTGCTCAGCTGTGGAGAAGCCTCAGTGGAAGGTAGGGAGCTTTTACTTAAAGCATATGACTGATGGAGGGCAGGGTGGGGTGGTGGTGAGGGCTGACTGAGCTGCCAAAATACATCATTGAAATAATGTTCTAATGACAGAGACCCAAGTCCCATGGTAATTTTCAAGAGTGGGAAAATCTCTTATGTCTCTTATCACAGAGAAGCTGAAGACCAGGACAAGACAGGAAGTCACTCTAGGAATGAAGTTGGGTAGTGTCCATTTGTGTCACTTGTGAGGAGAGGGAGGCCTTTCTGCTTGATACTTCCTTTCAGATTCATTTTTAGTTGTAAATGATGGCTACTGCAGTGGAAAAGTGGTACCACAGAGAGTGCTAGAACTCTGCTGGAATGTTCTAGAAGCACTGGCCATGCTGTCAGTTTAGAGGACTTCAGAGTGGAGGAGAGGAAAAGGAGGGATGAGAGACTTCTTGCTGGCCTCTGTGTGCTCAAGTCCCAGGTGCCCTTTATTGCTTCATCTCTCACATGCTTTCTCTTTCTCCTACACACTTGGAGCAGCAGTATATGGTTCCAGCTCTTGGGATGAAATTTTCTTTTTTCCCATGGGTTTCCAGATAACTTCCAGAAAAGATGTTCTTGCTACTTGCCTATTTTGAGGGGCAGGAAGAGAATCTTTGGTCATTAATTCTAAGTCTCACTGTTAACCAAAATTGTAAGCCTAGAGTAAATCAGAACATTTAAATCTACTTCCCATAGGCACGGCACACGAAGTATCTTGCCCATCACTGCCCGAGCTCTTTCCTCTTCCCCTTGGAAACAATCTCCTCACGATAGGGAGAATGACAGTCAAGAGGAAGGGGCTGATGTCACCCCTGTGGGGTGGGGACCAAGTGGCTGCTCCGTTAAAAGTGAAAATTTACCTTGTGTCTGCTGAAGAAAGGACCCATAATAAGAAACCCCCATGTGTGTGTGTGTGTGTGTGTGTTTGTGTTTGTGTGTGTGTGTGTTGGAATACATGGGTGTGAATGTGTGTGTGTGTGAATGTGTGTGTGTGTTGCTAGAAATTAAACCCCTCACACATTCTAGATAAGTGTTCTACCACTGAGCTACAGCCTAGCCTGGAAAAATCTCTAAATATGGCTCTCATTCACATGGAACTTACATAGGCTGTGTGGCAGATCTGAATTCCAAGCAAAAACCTAATCATTCTCCCCAGAGTAATAGCCAATGCTTATGTGTTGAAACTATCAGACTTTACAGAGTTAATGTTTCCTCATGTCTTCAAGTCTCCATACTCTCCACATCTTAATCTTGGACCCTCTAAGGTAAGCCTGGCACCTTGCTAACAAGGCATGCTCTTTGAAGGCATCTCCATGAATTTTTAAGGAATATCTTCTAGTGAAGGGTACATTTGATTGGGCTAAAGGATAAAAAATTATCTTCTTTGGAAAACATAGTCACTGAGCTCAGAGTGTGTCAGATGCCTGCATAAGCCTGTGTGTGCTGGGATAGTTCTTGGCTGACAACACCCAGACAAGCGGAGCTCCACAAACATGAAAGTCTGCCTTCTGCCAAGACGAGAACGCCAGTAGGCCCTTTATGCCTTAAAAATAGCAGTTGAGCACAATTCTGTAGTTATCTATTGTACAATGGGTACTCAAAGCCCCTTTCTTTCTCGCTTGACAAAAGAAGAGGCTCATTCATGGTGAGAGAGCAAGCCCTTTGCCAGGGCCACTGGGCAGTCTCCAGGCCATGCACAGGGCTCTCCCTGGATTCCAGTGTCATGGTTAACTTGTCCAAATTGTACTTTGACACTGAGATTTATCAAAGGCAACTTTGAAAGAGGACTGAATTGCACAGCCACCCTGGAGAAGACGATACGGGAAATCACACTTATCTCTTGCTAGCAGGGGTATACTTACGAAAGATATTTACAAGCATTTTAAAATGTGTAATGCTAGACATTTAAGGCCCATACTCTTCTCTGGAAGACTGTCAGCCTGAAGAAAGTACTCACTTAGAGTGGAAGTTCAAGGGGAAAGCCCCTGGAAATGGAAGTGAATCTTCACAGCAGAAATCAATACATTTTTTCAGAATGTTAAAAATAAAATGAGGACTGGGGATGTCGCTCAGTTGACAGAGAGTTTACACAGGATGCATGAAACCCTGGGTTCAATCCCTAGGACCTCATAAAACCAGTGTGGTGGCATTTGCCTGTAATCCTAGAACCAGGGAGTTGTAAAAGCATGTGGATCAGAAGTTCAGGGTGGTTGTTCTGCACCTGTAATGAGCTGGAGGTCAGACTGTGACATATGAGAATATTGTATTTGTGTATTTTAATTGTGTTTCTGTGTATAGTTGTGGTTCACTCAGTTTTTGATGCTGTATGATACTCCATCATGAGCATATAGTACATTTTTATGGAGTCTGTTTTCATTGGACTTGGGTATTTTGTTATTGTAGGCAGACAGTCCATGGTTTCTGTGTCTCTGAGTTTACTACACCTCAGTACAAAAGGTCGATGGGAGGGAATAACATGGTCCATAAGGCAGAAGAGCAGCCTCTGAGGTGAGGAAGCTTCACGTCTTGAAGGGAGTGTGAAATCAACACGGGGTCCTGTACCCTGACTCATAACTTCGAACTACTGGAGGCGTTCTAGAGAGTTTTCCAGCAGTCTCAGCGAATTGACCAAGCTCCACAAGGTCCTGGGAGCCAGGACCCTGGCAGCCACCAGGGGGTGCGTGAGAGGCAGGACGTCTCAAGTGGAGGGAAGCTGTGAATAACTGACCTGCCACTGAGGAAATGCAGCTGTCCATTCCAAAGTGGAGTTAATCCCTGGGCATTCTGCCAGGGCAAAAATGTTAGAACTTTTCTAGTTACAAGAGGAAAGTCCAATTAAAAGTTACATCTGTCTCTATAGGTGTATCATGTTTTATTTGCACGAAAAAGCACATTGGGAAACAGGAGTGGCAAAATGGGCAGAGAGATTTGGAGAATAAGAGTGACTGGGTGAAAAGGAAACTCATAAATGAACAGTGCAGACCTAGAACAAATTGCTGCAACACTTATCTTAGAAATAACTTAATAATGACTCATGAGACCCCACAAACACAAAGTGCTTTGAGTTCATGGCCCTTTACCACTTGTTCCTAACCCATTGTCAGAATCTTCTCAATCTGCCTGTTGTTGCTCTCAAAAGTCTTTCCTCCTTGCCCCTACACTTAGTATTTTTCATGTTCTAGAAACGAATGAAAATGCATAGGCCTCTCATCTCCCCCAACTCTCTATAAACTTGAATCACAAATCCAGTAAGTGATTATGTGGGGAGAGGATAAACTAATGGTTCATTAATTCTGGGAATAAAATGACCTGTTAAAATGCCAGGTAAAGATCCCTGTTTGTTAGAGGGACATACAAGTCCCATGTTGCTAGGGTGTATACTCAGGACCTCGGTGTGCTTGGAGTGGGCTGGATAATCCTGTTGCCCCTGCATGTCCATATTCTAGACCCCAGGTGCTGTGACAGTCCCCTTACATGCCAATAGGGACTTCACAGAGATAAGATATGGAGGTTTCCTGGGCCCAGTGTTACTGCAAGGGTCCTTTTCAGAAGGAGGCCGGGTTGAAGTGCAGAGATGCTGGTAGTAGGCTTGGAGGTGAATGAAGGGATGCAGGGATCAAGGAGTGCAGGTAGCACTGAGGAGCTGCAAGAGGCAGGGACACAGCCTCTAGAAGGAAGGCAGCCAGCAGACCGCAGACCAGGTTAGAACTGGGAGATGATGCTTTTGTGAGTTTTTTTTCCTTTTTTTTAAAGGAAATATATATATATATATATATATCTCTGTAGCCCCAGCTAGTCTAGAACTTGCTTTGTAGACCAGGCTAACCTTGGACTCTCAGAGATCTGCCTGCCCCAGCCTCCCAATTTCTGGGATTAAAGGTATGTGCCAGTACACCTGGCCTTATACGATATATTTATTGTATTTAGATCCCCTGCCCTCTCTGTATACCCTTACTACCCCCACCCAATTTCATATATTCTGCCTTTGGAGGCAGACGTTTAATATAGTGTCCAATTAAGGGATAATCACTCTGCAGTCTCTTATTTCCTGCACTTTGACCAGTTGTGGAGATCTGTGTTAATCACCATCTGCTGCATAAAGAAGCTTCTCTGGTGAGAGTTGAGAGATGCACTAACCTGTGGGTTTAACAATAAATAATTAGGAGTCAGTTTAATACTATATCTATTTAGAGCCTAATAGTATCTGTCCAGGAGCTGTGTCCTGAAACAGGGGTGGTCAGGATGCTGCCGGACAGAGATAACATTGTGCAGGAAGAGGGTGAGGATAGGCAGCCAAGAGTGAGCCTAGCATGATGAACGTCGAGTCAGGGGAACAATGGGGGCTGAAAAAGGAACCAGTGTGGTCAGGAGAGTAGAGAGGAATATGAAGATGGAGATGCCGTACTGAAGCTGGAGCAGAGCATTTCATGGAAGCACCATCGCCTGTGTCCTAGGAGCCAGAAACCACTGAGGTGCATGAAAACCCTGAGCACCTTTGCAAATAGCTTTCTGTGACTTTCATTGATGCATGTGTAGGAGGTGGGAGAGGAGGTCTTTAGGAGTGAAAACAAATTCCAGGGTGTAAAGATGAGGGGAAGGCTGAGAAAAAGGAGGTAAGTGGTGTGAGCTACATGCTGGGAGATGATGGTGGGGAATGGATGAATGGAGAGCCACTAACCAGTGGTCACAAGAAGCACTAGCTTCATGGCCTAGTTCCAGAATGTTCTCATTATCCCCAAAGGGAACCCTGTAACCATCAAGCAGTTGGTTATTTGTCCTTTTACTATAGCTCTAGGCAACCACAAGTCTGCTCCTTCTCCATGGATTTGCCCTCTGGATATTCATACAAATACAGCCATTTGCCCTTAATTGTGTCTGGCTTCTTTCACTTAGTGTAATCACATCAAAATCCATCTGTAGTAAAGCTTTTATCCATACTCATCAGAGCAGAGTAATATTCCTTTGTCTGGACTTACCACACTTTGATCTGCCATAATCTGATGGCTATTTTGGTTATTTCCATCTAGTAAGAACCTTGGTTTTATTTCATTTGATTTTGGCCTCAAAATAGAGAAATGTGATCATGTGGGGGAAAAACAGGTGAGTGCGTGTGTAGATGACTGGATAGACTCCATAAGGAGAGTCAGCTCTGTCGCTGGGGCACGGAGTATGTCCAGCCCTGTTGCTGGGGCATAGAGTATGTCCAGCCACGGGGGCCACACAACATTGACTTTGTTCATAATTTACAAATCTTTCCTAGAAAATTGAAGATAGCGTGGAATCACTCCACAAATGCGAGCATGCTGGCCGGGGAAGTTGAATTCTATGCAGTATCTACACCCTTGGAGTGAGAGCATTGCTTCTAAAGGAGGAGCTCAAGAATGTGCCCTTCAGTTGTCATTAGGTCTTGCTTCCTTTTATATTTCTTTTTAAAGGAGTAGTGGGTATTCAGGACAGAGGGACATACAGGGTCAGCATTACTATTCACAGGTGTGATTGAAGGAGGACCATGGTTCAGCCTCCTGACTGGGGTACATTGCTTTATAACTCATGTGCTGTTTATTAGTTCTGCTGAAGGCTATTCTTACTTGTGCCTGTTTTTAATACCTGAACAACTGGGAGAGAGAACTTATAATCCTGCAGTCATTTGGCTTGTATTCTTAGAGGGTATTTTTAAACTCTAACATTCAGAGCTACCTCGTGCCATCTACAACTCTAGAAGCTCTCTCAGTACTTTGTTTTCTCCTGGACTATGAGCTTTAGATTTTGAGTAGTATTTTTAATTTCACAAAAGATGCAGAAAAAATCTTTCCTTTGATATTTGTCTTATTTTTAGGCAGTGACTGTTACCTTTCTTAAAATGAGTGAGATATTTTCAGTCATGACTCCAGAATCATCTGCTATGGAAAGAAAACTGTCTGTGTGTCCTGAAATGTATCGAGCTAAACACCCTCAACTCAGATGTGGATGTTTAATGTGAATAAATTGATTTCTTCCCACTGGGGCCAGGATAGCCATGTTTAAGGGGCTTTTAATGAATGCACCAATATAATGAAGACTAATTGAGAGAAGATTTAAATGGAAATGAAACTTGTATTTTTAAATTGAGTGCTGGGTGTGAAATAGATTTAGGATTGAAAACAGCTGCTTTGGGTCCTTTCTTAGAAACTGAGTAAAGGCCAATCTTCTCTAATTTTACTTATTGTTAGGCATGTTTCGTTGCTGTAAAATACCTGAGAAAACTTAAGAGAGGAAGGATTCATTTGGGCTCACAGTTCAGAGATTTCAGTCCATGGTCACTTGACACTGTTGTGTCTGGTCCCTTAGCATGGTGAGGTGGGACATCGAGGTGGGAAGCATATGTTGGAGGAAAGTAGTTTACCTCATCAGGGACAGGAAGCAGTTGAGAAAGATCAGAACAACATGGCATAAAATAGCCCTTTCATAAGCACACTTCCCCAAGGGGCCTATGTTTCCAAACAGGCCCACCTGCCTGTTTAGCCATGTTCTTATTATTGTATTGATCCATTGATGAAATTATCACTCTCATGATCCAGTTACCTCTCAATAGCACCATCAGGAGACCAAACCTTCAACCCTGAACCTTTTGGGGGAACATTTCACACCTAAGCTAATATATACACATATATAATATATATGTATATATATATTAATCTGTAGGTGACAAATCAATCACACCATTTTTATTTGCCTAGTGGAAGGAGGAAGTGATGCTGGGTTAAGGAATTTGTGCTCTCTGTGTAGGAAACATGAACATTAGAAACCAATGATAAATTTGACATTGGTTCCTCAGTCAAGGCATGAAAGCTTTCCAATAGAAAAAAAAAAGACATGATTTCCAGTGAATAAGCTTCCTCTTGCTGGTTAGAATATGGGATTGATAATATAACCAATAGCAGCAGAAAGGTAGTTCTAAATTCCAGAGAAGACTTTTTTCCCTGAGTGCTGCCAGTGGATTTCAGGAATAGGAGAAAGCTATTCTCTAGTAAGCAAGTGATTTCAAGACATAGAGGGAGGCCAGTACACTGTGGATGAGGCTCTGGGACAGGTGTCCAACTCTGATGCCATATCAGTAACATTGCTCGTGTTCCCCACCCTGATTCTTCATGACCTGTTGGCCTAGATTCTCTGTGTGTTGGATTGGGCTGCTATTAAAAAATACTATGGACGGGTGGCTCAAATGGCAAGCATTGGTTTCCCACATTGCTGGAAGTTGGCAGTCTGAGACCAGGATACTTGGGTGGTTGGGTTTTGGTATGGACCCTCCCTGAATATGGTCTGCAGAGCACCATATTCTTGTATTTTCACATGGTTGTAAGAGAGCATGCTGGCCCTTCATCCCCTTCTAAAACACTAGTTCCATTATGGGCCTCCAGCTTCATGACTTCACCCAAACCCACTTAGTTCCAGAAGCTCCCACGTTTGGGAGTTAATGCATCACATGTGAATTTGGAGTTCTCAGGTGGTCAGACACAACACTCTTCTTCCTCTGCAGTTTGACTTTCTCCTTTGGGATTTAATGAATTGGAAAGTGGAGGGATATTATTGGGCTGATTCCTCAGAATGCAGAATTAGAGAGTCAGATGAAGCCCTGGGTAATCCAAGCCTTTGGAAAGGATGATAATGAGATAAAACCATAGAGGTCATCAGCTCTAGCTGACTCCAGAAGAAGGGATTATGTGCTGGCACCTTCTGACTGAGTGCTTCCAGAAGGAGGGATTAGTGCTAGCATCTTCTGACTGAGTGCTTCCAGAAGGAGGGATTAGTGCTAGTGCCTTCTGACTGAGTGCTTCCAGTGTTTCCCAGCTTCCTCGGGTACAAAAGGGAAATATCCCTTCATATTCAGACAGTTTGTCCTTCCTATGCTACTGAGCTCTAAGACCTCTGAATGATGGGATGTCTTTTTTTTTTTTTAACAAGGAGAGGATACTTCATAAGGACCATGGAGGACCGAATCACTTCAGTCTGATACTACCTTTGCTCAGTTATGTGCTGTTACTGCTGGAAAATAACTTTGTATCCACTACAAATGTTATAAGTATATAATATTGTGGAGGTGCTGGATGGGAAGAGTGGGCCTTGTGGTAGAGTCACCTAATATCAAGACAGTATCAAAGAGGCATCAACTGATCTGATCACATTACTCCTCACAACCCTGGAGTCTAAGAGACTCCTCATTTACAGGAGAAAGAGTCCAGGCACAGTAGAACCGGAGCTGGTCTTAGTCCCTTTTCTGTTACTATAACAAAATGTTTGGGATCAGGAGTGCTACTCAGTTTTTCTTTATTGTGACAAAGTACACAAGAAAATCAACTTACAAGAAAGAAAGACTTGGAGCTGGAGAAGTGGTTCAGTGGTTAAGAGCACTGGCTGCTCTCGAAGAGGACCCGGTTTTGGCTTCCAGTACCTACATGGCAGTTACAAACCATCCATAACTCCAGCTCCAGGGGAATCTGATGCCCTCTTCTGGCATCCTTAGGCATTGCATGCACGTGGTGTACTTACATGCAGGAAAAACACTCATACCCATTAAATAAAAATAAAAAAGAAGGGAAGACTTATTTTGACTCATGTTTTCAGTCCATGATCACTGGCAGTGGTACTTTTACCTGTGGTAGAAGACCACATCATGGTGGGTGTGAGTGGTGAAGAAGACTGCCCACCTCACAGCAGCAAGAAATACAGAGAGAGGAAGGTGGCTAGGTCCCCAACATCCCCTCAAGAGCATGTCCTTGGGGACCTTTTTCTATTAGCCACTTTCTCCAAAAGGCTCCACGCATCCCAAAAGTGCTATAATCTGACCACCAAGTAGCCTAAGGGTCTCTGGAAGACATTTAAGATCAAAACCAGCCAGCATGCTGGCTCCCACCTCTAATTTCATCACTTAGGAAACTGTGGCAGGAGGATTATAAGTCTGAGGCCAGCCTGGCTTACTTAGATGTGAGCTACTGATGAGAAGCTCTGAACCCAAATGCCAGGTAAAGTATGGTTCTGGAGGTAAAGAAGTCCAAGTTCAGCATCTGTTCAGCATCTGGTGAGGGCTTCTCGCTGCATCTTAGTATGACAGAGGATGTCGCATGGCACAGTGCAGCAAGTGTGCTGAGAGAGTTCAGTCCCATAGTAATGAATCCATCCCCCCCACCCCAGCCACACATTAATCCGTTCCTCAAGGCATAAAGATGAAGTTTCAAACACGAGCTTTTGGGGAACACATTCCAACCAGAAAATTCTGCCCCTCATTCCCTAAATTCATGTCCTTCTCCCATGTAAAATACTTTCATCCCATCCAAATAGCTCCAAAGTCTCAACTGGGTCCAGTACCAAACCAGAAGTTCAAAGTCCAGAGTCTCATGTGACTTAGGTATGAGTGCAGTTCAAGACAGAGCTCCTCATGAGGCAGGTTCCCTCCATCTGTGAGCCCGTGAACCAAACAAATCATCAGCTTAATACAGCAGCAAGACAGGCATGAGGCAGGCATTTCTGTTCATTTATACATGAGAGAAGAGTGATTAAGTTTCTACTACATGAACTTTTGGGGATCATTTTCAAACCACACTATGGAGCTATGTAAAATGTTTTTGGTCAAAAAGATTCTAATACAAGTGTTCTAAAGACCCTTTAAAATTATTCTTAGCTGCTTAGGGAAAACCTAGTAAAAGTGGGATAATGAGTACACTGTGACCGTCTCATCTGCTGTACTTTTTCTTTATGCATAAGGATTCAAGGTCAGATGTTGCTGCATTGCAAACCAGCAATGGCATACAGTATGCATTTGTTTCTTGCTTCCGTGTCTGGGGTCAATGGAGTTCAACTGGTTTAGGCAGTCTTTGCTTCAAGATTTTGTCTTGTGTCCAGGCTAGTACTGTGGTCGTTCAGCTTCTGTCATCAGAGGCTGCCCAAAGTGTTACTTTGCTCATGGGAAAAGGCAGGAGGCTCACTGGAACTCTTCCACGTACTCAAGCTCTACCTGAACATACCCAGAAGGCAAAGCAAGTCACATGGCCAAGTCCAAAGCCAAGAAGGTATATCTGGACACCATAGGCCATGGCAAGGTATAGACATATAAACTTAAAACAGGAGGCAATTGCATCATATAATGTAATCTGGCATTAATTTGTAAAAATTTTAGATAGGTATACTTTTCATATGGTTATATAGGTTTTTATTTTCTATTCAGTGTTTTTAAATGCTCTTTAGAACAATTGCATTCTGACATATATATTACTTTCAGGATATAATCATCTAAATCTTTCCCTCCCTCCCTCCCTCATTCCCTCCCTTCTTCTCTTCCTTCCTTCCTTCCTTCCTTCCTTCCTTCCTTCCTTCCTTCCTTCCTTCTTTCCTTCCTTCCATCTTTGGAATGGGGTCTCACTAAGCTGTTCAGTCTGACTTTGAATTTCTGGGCTCAAGGAATCTCCTGTCTTAGCCTTGCTGGTAGCTATTTGTTTATTTATCTTTTGAGATAGAATCTCATGATGCCCAAACTGGTCTTTAGCTGTGTAGCTAAGGACGACTTTGCACCTTGGGTGTTTCTGCATCTACCCTCCAAGTGCTGGGACCATTTGGAGCTTGCCCATTTATTTATTTATGTTCTTATTTATATTTTTATTTATTGAGAATTCATACATGAATGTAATGTGTGTTGATTAAATCCACTCCACTCCCTCCGCTCCAGCTTCTCCCAACTCTCCCACTTTTCCCTCCTAAATTCATGTACTCTTTTTTAAAGATTTTTTTCTGATGCTTAATATTTTATGGGTATTGCTTTGACATTTTCAGTCATTATTGTTAGTTATACTCAGCGATAATTTTAAAGAATTTTCTCATGTCCTATTATTCTTCTCTCTTTTTCATCCAGAACAACTTATCTACTTATAATTCTAGGTTATAAAATTGTTGGAAAAATTACATAATAATAATACATTTGCATGTGGTCATATATTCAGTGCTAAAGGGCTTTGGAATACCTGCCATTATATGACTCTGATTGAAAGGGTGACTTGGAAGAATCAGGTTATCAAAACAAAATCATTTATATCTATAGCCTAATTTAATGTCATTAAAACATAAGCTAATTTTTTATTGTTGGATTTTAAAGTCAGTTCCTTTTATTGGTGATACAGTGATTCAGCAAATGTCAAGAGAGAGCCAAGGATCCTGGGCTTTGCAGGAGTATAATTCAAAGATGTAGAAACCAGATTTCCCACTTTTCCATTAGCCATTTATGTTTTACACCAATGAAATGTCTTTATCTTGGGCTGGTTCTGAAATGCTTCACTAGGATTCCCCCTCCCCCCCAATATTTTGCAAAGGAATGAAATAGTTTATAAACGTCAGCCTTTTGGTTGTGAACAGATAAAGGAAGGTGACACTTCCCATGGTCACTCTATTGGTGTAGGGCAAAATTGCTATTTTGGATTCCTGCTTACACTGTGGGGTCACCTTCCCCAAGTATGTCTGGAGCTTTGGTCAGTGGAGTCATTCTTCTAACATGTATGAAACACTCACTGAGCATAAGGCATAGTGCCTCAGAGTGTGTTAAGATTCCACTGCATTTCTTTTGATGTTAGAACACAGGGGAAATGTATCCAATGTTAGAGAGGTGGCAGAAATAGCAACACGGTTGTGCACTGTTGGGCTTATCAGAGCTGTAAGAATTCACCTTTCAAAGGATTCAGAGAGATTCTGCTGCTATTTACGCTACATAAAGAGAAAAGGCCTGTGCCACCTGAATAAAAACAGCTAGAAGTATTACATCACCAGCAGAAGATTTCATTGGTTCTTCAAGACTTTGTGGAGCCCAAAGCAGGTTTATGTTTAAACTGATTCTGTTTTGATCATTGAAATGATAATTTTAAGACAAAGTGGGAAAAAAAGGATAGACAGGAGAGAGATGAAGAAAGATCACTAATATTTATACACATTGCACACATTCAGAAGTGGAGCTTGGCATCACTTTTTGTTTAGAATGAGTATCCTATTTTCTTCTTGTTTGTCCGACTCCTGCTACAATTACACTGCCTCCTAGTCAACATCAAATGATTCTTTGATGCAACATGTTACTTCTAGCAACCTACTACTTGATTTTTTCAAATCTCAAGACTATGAAATCTCAAGATTTGTGGACATACATATATACCACTGAAAACTAGTTTCCTTTCAGGGTTTTAATTCCTTGGGTTTCCATCTCTGTGTGTGGCTCATTGACTTTAATAATGGTGCACAGTGGGCTTGTTGAGAGGCTCCCATCGAGGGAGAAGAGCTTTTAGCTCACTACCACAGGAGCTACAGCATCTGGTCCTAGCACAGCTCTGCATCGAGCCCCACACTCCTTTCCTGGCTGGCGTGGTACAGTTGGAGAGCTAGAACGAAGAGCCTGAAGAGCTCATTAACCTGCCTCTTTGAGGAGGTTTTTTGTGGTAGAAACAAATAGGAACTTCTTCTCCCTCTGTGTTATAAATAAAAGAGAAGTTGTCACTTGGATTCAGGGCATCTCCTGGAAGCTGACAAAGAACCAGAAGCAGGAGGTTACCAGGAGCAGAAGCAGCTCTACCCCATCCAGCATCAAGGACAGGATGAAGTGAGAAGCCATCAGGGAGGGGAGGACTATGGATGGTGATGATGATGAGCTGAACTATCTTCTGTTAGTGCTTGACACTTGTCACACTGTGCTAAGTGCTTCCTGTGTCATCACTAAATCATCCTCAGGACAGACAGTCCCTGAGACAGGGATGATGAGCCACATTTAGATAGAGGACAGTGACAGCAAAGCTTGATTAAGTGAATTGGCCAGAGATAGAAGGAAGAGTTCAGCTCCTGCCTTTTCCTAAGTAGTATATTCCCCCACAAGGATATAGTTGCTTTAATGGTATTTTAGAAAACAAAGATTATGAATGTAAAGCAGAATTTCAAGTATTTTCATTACATGCCCATAACAAGGATGCAAATGATGTCAGTGTCATCTGTATCTGGGGCTTGGAGGTAGTTACAGCCACAAGGGGCCTCAACTGGGCAGAAGTAACTCTGACCCTGTGTGCTTTCCAGATGATGGAGAGACAAAGTAGGCTTTTTGTGATTAAATGTATTTTCTTGCTATTAAAAGCTATATTTAATAGGTTTAAAGGTTGTTCTAGTCACAAAAATGAATCTGTACTTTTAGCAAGATTATGTCGATCTCTGGCATATCAACTAATTTTATCTCTCTCTCTCTCTCGTGTGTGTGTGTGTGTGTGTGTGTGTGTGTGTGTGTGTATGTGAGTGTGTAGGTTCTGTGTGCGTGAGTGCACATGTGTATGTACATATAGGTACAGGTATTCATGTATACCAACTAATTTTTGCATTGACGAGTTTCTCCTTACATTTAGAAATGTATTAAGTTTAGTAGATGATGTG